TTGACCAGCCGTTCACACCCAACTCGCAGTGGACGCTGCGGCAGCTGCTGTTCGCTATGTTAATGGACCACGTCAGCTCTGGCTCCTCGCGGGACGAGGTGCAGGCGAGGCTGTGCACACTCGCTGCGGCGCTGCCAGCCGGCAACACAGTTCCGACCAGCTTGAAGGTGGCAGAGGAGCTCATGGGTATGGAATCTTGGCAGAAGTTCGAGGTGCACCTGTGCACTCACCCCGAGTGAGATACATGCACCTCGGCTGCGCTGAGTGCAGCAAGTGACAGGTGTCCCGCGCCGCAAAACCCAGTGCAAGCTCCTGGCAGACTGGTGTCGTTGCATTTCAAGTTTGGCTTCACCAGAAGGCGCTCACCTGCCCAAGCCCCACCCTTCAAACCCTGCGCCCCCATGAATCCATGCATTTGCAGGTGTGCGGGCTACTCCTGGGACTATGTGCCGCGCAAGGACTGGAGGAGCTGGTATGAAAAATGTGGCGGCAACGACTTCTGCCCGGTCTGCAGCACCGGCCGGCGCTTCTCCAAGGCCCCCCTGGACGGCGGTGGGTTCAGACTGGAGCCCATTGCTGCCATGATCGATTTTGACGTGGAGCGTGCCATCCAGGCGCTCTACTTGACCCCAGGGTTCGTCGCCNGGGCGGGAGGAGCAGCGCGCTAAGATGCAGCGCCCATCCCTTGGAGACAGGGCGGCAGGTGGGGGGGCGCAGTCGCTTGCTACCGCGTGCAAGTGGGCAGCTGCATGGTGTGTGTATGTGCACGCGCGCGTGTGTGTGTGTGTGTGTGTGTATGCATGTGTATGTGTGTGTGTGTGTGTGTGTAGGTGTGTGTGTGCATGCATGCATGCACGCACGCACGCGTGCGTGCGTGCGTGAGTGAATGCCTTTCAAGTGCGAGGGCGAGGGCGCGTATGACTGGGCGGGTGGGCGATTATGAAAGTAGGGGTTGCAAGGTCGCGCTTGAAGCATGCCCGCAGGCGGCGTCGCTACATGGGCTTGGAGGGCTGATGGTCTGGAGGTTCCATTGCCCAGCTGCCTGCATATCAGTTCATTCAAGTTCCCTCACACCATTCGCAAATGAAACATATTGCACCCCTTCATACCCATGATTGTTACTTCGCCAGGATCAGACTTTCAACGGATGGCGCACAAGATGGGTGCCAGCTTTNACAGCGCGCGACAATGGGCACTACCGCATCGGCGTCGACTGGTTGGAGCCCTACAAGTCCGTGGCCTACAGCATCGGCCTCATCCTGGTTGCACCCGACGACCTGCCGGACGACCAGATCGTCCGCATCGCCTTCACCAAGGTGCTGGGCATTGTGTTTGGGCCCAAGGCCCCGTCCAACATGTACGCCGCGGTCATGCACACACTCCGCAAGCTGGCAGCAAGCTCTGGGGCCCTTGGGACCGCAGCAAAGCCCATGCAACTGTGTGTCAGCAGGCCGGCGCCGATCGCCGCCGGCGCCCCTACACCGTCAAGCGCCGCCACCTTCACGCCCGTTCAGCAAATCAAGCACCAGGCGTACCTAACGTCCTTTTTCGCCGACACCCAGGCGCGCCGCTACTTTGACGGGTGCATGGGGGTGGGTGCCTACCTCCCCTGCCACTGGTGCCTGTTCCAGGGCACACCTGACGCCAACCCAGGCGGCAAGGGCGTCACCATCAGGCCCAAGGGCTACGTCAACCCCGTCCCTCAGACCCGCAAGTGCGTGTTGCTCAATGCAGGGGGAGCCGTGTGTGTGTGTGTGTGTGTGTGTGTGTGTGTGTGTGTGTGTGTGTGTGTGTGTGTGTGTGTGTGTGTGTGATGTTGTGTGCGGGATGCTGAGGTGGGGCAGCCTTTGTGGCAACAACATTTTTTGAGGGCGGTCTTTCTCGCTGCTCAGGGCAATCACCATTAATTGTGCAAAGCTGAGCCTCAGCCTCCTAGGGCAATGCGTGGACCCTTGCAATTCCAAGTCAACCACATGCGCTCCCCTCGCACATCGCCCGCCCACTCAGGTTCAACGGGGCGGCCATGATGTTTGACGACGCACGTCTCAAGCTCACAGACAGCCAGCAGCTGACCCTGGGCGCAGCGGCCGACACACTCAGCGCCTCAGACGCCAGCTTCGACCCTGCCTTCCATGGGCGCAAGCGCAGCTGCCCCTTCAACAACTGGCTGCCGTATTTCTCGTTCAACAACGGCTTTGTCGTGCCGGCTGTGCACGGGTTCTGTTTTAACCTGCTCAGACCTTTCCTCAAGTGGGCGCTGCGCAAGCCCACCGGGGCGGAGGGCGAGGTGGTCATCAGCTACGCCGCGCGCCGCATCATGAGCACCCGCACCAAGTCCATCCGGCCTACAAACGACAACGGCCGGCGGCCCAAGGATCTGGTGGGTCTGAAGTTGCAAGTAATTCTGGCGGTGACTAACACACGGCCTGCGGGACGTGACATTGGGCTGGTGGCCGGCTAAACCAGAGGCGGCGGGCGTCGCTAGTGATACCCTCTCACACACGTGTGACTGGTGCGGCGCCAGCTCGCCAGCCTCTCTTGAGATCTGTGAGAATCTGTG